TTTTTTCTATAATAGGGTTTTATTATAATTTGATAACGATTCTTATATAAAACAAGTACTTTAAAGAAAAAATCCTGAAAAATAGCCAAACCGGTGTATTATTTCTATCTGTAGGCTAATTGACAGGAATTTGATCGGAATTTATCAAATCCGATCCGCTTATCAGCACTCTTGATCCGTTGTCACTGCGAGAATAAACAGATCGGATCGATTCTGGTCAAACTGCCGCGAACAATCATATATTCACGGAGAAACGGATTTTCACAAAGTAAGTCCCGTTAAATTTCCAACTGTTCCAACTACGAGACGTTCTCTACTGCGCTGAGACGATTGAATAACAGTTGTAGCCGGAAAGAAAAAAGGGTAGGAAGTGATTTTGAGGAAAGACGGCGTATTGCCGGATTTACGAGCGAACATCCTAATAGGGGTTTGGTTTATGACGGCAATGAAACTTATGCTCATAGCTTTCCGAGGACATCTTTCTTGCACTGTTGTCTCAGGGTCGTCCCGCCATGATTGACTTCACGATTAACTCGTAGATAAAACTATATCAAAAATTGATATAATATGTGTACATAGAAGAAGTTTTAACTTGATTTATGTGGTTTTATTAGTAATAAAACAAAAATTCCGGTCGATATTTTATCTTAGAGAACTCTAGACGGAATTATTCTAACAAAAGGCTCATTATTATTCAGAAGGTGCTCCAGTACTTTATTGCACCGCAATTTGCCCGATACTACGTTAAGCCCTGTAATGAAACAACGGAAATATGACAAAATTTGCCATTTGAAATCAACTTATTTTTCAAGAGCTTCGATCGAATTGTTAACAATTTGATCCCATCAATTATTTTGTGTGGAGGGCATATGAATGCGCCAATTTTATCCTAATCTCTACTGACGGATTTAACAATGTTTCACCCCTTTCAATATCAATTTATGTAACCATGTGATTACATCACATTTTGCCTCGCTCAAAATATTAACTCCTAAATGGAACACATTTGTTTTTATGCAATGGCTTGTATTATAATGTTATGTGTAAAATATGTCATTGGATTATTTTCGTTCATGATAACACACATGCTTACTGCTAGTTTTGTGCTGTGAAATTTCCATGGTACTAGAACTTCATTGGATTTCATTTGAAATGTCCTTGCCATGATTTGGGAGCAGATCTAGCATGTATGAAACGTTGACTGAAGGAACAAGGTCGGGATGAGTGTGGTACATACACGTTTCCATCTATATTGAAAAGTTCTTGCTTTTTTATATTTATAGGAATGCGATCGGGTGTTGTCTTATTTTTCAAAATATAAATCAAGTGAAAAACCAACTGCTTATTGTTGGCATGTGCTGCTCAACATCTTGGCATTAACATTATTTTGATTTTAATGGAAACCATTTTAGGTCACTTGAGAGAGTGACGTGACCAATAGCTTGAAAGACTGAAGAAGTAAGGCTTAGAATACAAGATGAGTGCGTTAGGTGCTTGATTTCATCTATTGTAAAAGGACGTTTTTTTATTATTTCAATGATTATGCAACCGAATATAAACTTGTTTCAACAAAACCTCTAATACTATTTTAAATGATTACATGGCATTATTTTTCTTTTCTCCAATAGTAGAATTATCTGAAAAAATATGAAACATTCTACAAAATGATTTGGAAATCATGGAAACATAGTCCATCTTCTTATTACTAATTTACTACTAAAATTTTAGTAGTAAATTAGTAACAAAACATTTATCAATTCAATATCCCTGGTTATATGTTTATTGCTGGCATAGAGCTATTTATAGTCTCAAAACTTATTGCTAAATCAATGTAAAATCTCCTCGGTTAATTTTTAGAAATTCAAAAGGCTTTTGATTCAATTAATCACTCTCATTTGCACTTTAACAAATTAATCACTTAATTTTTAGGGAATAGTTGATAATTAATTGAAATTACAATTAATTAAGTTTTTAGTTGAGATAAAAAAGCCAATGGCACGAGCGGGATTCGAACCCACGATCTTCGGCTAGATACGCCACTGCTCTACCACTTGAGCTATCGTGACCTCGNTCCAGTACAATCGGTTCTACCCTTTTCCTAAGAATTAATAAGTCATTGACTGTCGTTACTACACTTCCTTTCACCGGGTTTTCTTTGTATCCCAGGATAAATCTCCATTGAGAGGTTGCATCACATTTGATATTTGTGGCTGTATCTTCCTCCTGCTTGCATAATGTACAAATGGGGTCTTTATTAAATATACCAATCTTGTGTAGATATTTATCAGATGACTTTGACCAGTAATTAATGTCTTATGTGAACAGAGCGATTCTTTCGGGTCCGATAAGTAACAGATTTCTCCGAAACCGCTATCTGTCCGCGGAAGTACCGCAAGGTAGTGTTCTCGGACCAATCCTCTACATCCTTTATACTCTAGATGTTCCTTCTAAACCAATAAACCTTCTTGCTCCTTTTGCCGATGAAATAGCTGTACTAACATTGTACTAACATATAATGGATTTTCTTTCGAATGAAATCGACGAGAATTTAAGAAAATCTCGCTATTCTAGGTCATCGAAAATATTTGACACCATGTAAATAACTGAATTGAATTTTATTTGTATATTGCGATCAAATAATAAAAAACTTAAAAATTAATAAAACATTTGCTCACCACCTGCCATAAAAAACATATTTTGATTTTTGTATTAGAGGACTGGATTGTTTAAAAAAATATACACAATACACGACGTTTAGGAAAATTAAAGTGTAGTTTCATAAAATAAAGAAAAACAAAAAATAAACTAACAAAAACTTTAGCAATGTGAAAACAATGACGATTTTTTACCTCATTTATAACAAATTAGTCAAATTCTTTTTAAACAATTTTAGATAAAATTTATGTCCATTTACTCTCCTAGTTCGCAAAAATTTTACTCCAGTAGAATAAAAATGTTTCTGAAAATACTGTCGAAATTTAATTACAACTAACTTTACGCATTACTTTAAATCTATTGAAAATAAGTGAGGTGTTATATCTCACTGGCATAGTTCACTATTATGAGTCGTTCGAGGCTTCAGGGGCACTTTTCCAGGCAACCATAAGGTAAGATAGGATTGAGCCAATAATAATCCTCCATGTATCCACGACTATCAACAGACTCTTAACTAATCACGGACTATGTGTCCAAATATCTCAGCAAAATAGGGAAAAGGGAGTCACTTCACACATCAAGCCTACGATACCGCGGATGATCAACATATTATAATGAGATGTAGAAAACATAGAGAAGAAAGAAAAGGAGTATTATGGTATCAAGAGGGGGAAAAGTTATATATCGTATAAAACTTTCCTGTAGCAACAAAGATATATATAACAAAAATTTGAAATTCATATGCCGAGCAAAAATAAAATTATAACATGTAAATATAAGTTGTAATAACTATTGTTAATTACGTACGCTTTCAAAAAACAAAAATGATTGAGTAAATTAATTATACGAATAAAAAAATTCTTGCATCTTCTCAATGGGGTGTGTTCGAAAACTCGTTTTTCCGCAATTCTACTGCATTTAATGTCTACATTGTATATGAAAAATAAAACTACGCTTTTTGTCGGCTTATTTTATCATTTTTATGGTATACAATTATTACACAACATATTTTTTTTATAAACTAGAGGTAAAAAGAAGAATCTTTTGCTTCGAACTATTTTTAAAATTATTTTTTGCCTCTGAGAAGATTTATTTGCGATTGGGACGGGCGTCTTAGATACACTAAACCCGCACGACTTGCAAGTGTTGCAGAAGTGTTGGTCATGCACGCCGTTAGGGAAGACAGCAACTTTGAACTTTTTAATTTATAAACGTTCTAATAAATTAGTTATATATATTAAAAGATATTACAAACATTAATAAAAAACAAGAATAAAACTCGAAATTAACGATTTGCACTAAATTATTTGGGCATAAAGTGGATGTAGTGTTTGGAAATTCTTTTAAGTGATTTCCTATCTTTCTCCGTTTCCAGTTCTCTTTCAATCAAGTAAAAATGTTTCCAGATTATCAACGTTCAAAAGTTATATTTTGAACGTTATTTACCATAAATTTGCTGATGTTTTTTTAGTAGTGCTTGTACATCTTTGCAGGTACAGGTTCTTCTTTTGAATTGTATTACTATGGCTTCTCACTATTCAGCTTATAAAATATTCGATTATGTACTATATGTTGGTCAATTCACTCGGTTGGACTCTTGAATATAGAAACGTAGGTGATTTATTCAGGAGGAACTACTCCTGCCAATTGATTTTTTATTTCTAGCTACGCATTTCGGCGCTCGGCTGCTAACCCTCCCCGTCATCAGACCTTTTTGGAGGTCAAACCTTACTCGTTTGAGCCCCAAAAGACATAGCCAGAAATGAAAAATCAATTGGTGGGAATAGTTCAATAAATCACCTACATGATACTTTTTTTTGCCCGTTCAGAAAATTCCAGGGACAAAATTGGGAATCGGACCCCCAAGCCCGCAGGTCCATGACCGGAGAGTCTAACAACTCGGTTACCGAAGGGGTACTTGAACGGAATATTTATAATTCATTTTGGATTGGTAATACAGACACAGTTCCTTTGGGACCTTGAACTCAAATCCTCGGAATTTTTGTGTGACAAAGACAAGGGGCTTTGAACAATGTTTGCAATAATCAACTCTAATCAAATAAAAAAAGTTGTTTAAGCGGTTCGTATTTCTTCTTTCATTTGACACTTGTTTAATGGATCAAAATTTCAAAGGAAAATGAATAGCTTGTGATTTTGAGGGAATGCCTGTAGATTGGCTCCTCTCTCACCCGATATCTCGCGCTTTCCCCCCCCCCCCAACATTCTTGTTCAATCTTCTTCCATAATTTAATTCAGAGAAAAAAACTCCGACAAAATGACAGAAATCTTTATTACCAGTTAATAGTTTCAAAAATCTTATAGTTATATTAAAACTTTTTTTACAGCATCGGCTTGACGATGGAGCATATGAACGTCACTACAATCCTCGTGCCCATCGTAAACGAAGAAGAGGTTCTTTTCACGGATATGAACGGTTCTTGCAAATGCTGGGGCAAAACAACGGCTACCGTTTCAGAATGCCAGTGTGTTGGGGAGTCTCTGGTCGAAGTACCCAAAAACCTGACAAAAAATATCGAACGATTGTAAGTATCTGAGCCATGTAAGATTTACTAGTTTTATAGTCGTTTCTGTACTTGTTAAAAAAAATAATTCCTGTTATTGGGTCCGTTTCCGTTGCCGTCGAGTACATCAAACCCCTTTACAACACGTACCCAGTTTTATTCACAAATAAAAATGTAATGACTCTGCCAAGATTGAAACGCAGGACCACTGGCGTGGCAAATTCGTGTCGGACTACTCGGCCACCACAGTCATGTACCAATAATTACCAATTACATTTTTCTAAGTAGTACATAGTAACGATAACGTCAGATACAATAGGGGGTAAAAATACTATGGCAGTTAGTATAACTCACATTTTACTATCTTTTAATCTGATAATTAATTATTGGCTGATTTCATTGCATCCTAAACAATGTTGATTTTAAGTACTTTAATAACAATGTATTGTGTGATACAAGTTTGCAGCTGCACTAGCCCTGCATTGCTTCAAAAATGTAATGGTTACGTCTTAGATCATCAACATACTACCTGTTATGATTTTTTAGACCTTTCTGCTTCGTATTTGTACGTTCCTAGTATTTGGTGTGAGTACCTAACATTCAGTTTTTTTTGTGATTTATGCCAGAAATTAAATTTGGCCTATGTTGTATTTCCAAGATTTTTTCAATTAGGCTATCTGCTTCTTCATTTCCTAAAATGTGTAGTGTGAGAGACGGAATATTAAGTACCCACCCTCAATTAAATTAAATTTTTAATTTATTTTAAGGGTGAAGGAGAAATAACGAATACTATACCACCTTGCTCAAATGAATGGTATGTCAATAAAAATACTATATTTAAGTGAGTATGAATGTGTAGGTCTCAGTGAGTTTATTGTCGATAGCCTGGACCTAACTTGGACGGCGAGATGGTTAAGACCGAAGTCTGTCCTCCTAAAAAACCCCGAAATTCTGTCAAAAGTTTAATTCTGTGTACGTAATATATGTGCAGAGCTTACATTAATCAATCAATCAGTGAAAAATTAATTAATGACATCATGATTCGGTGTTGTTTTCCCTTTTCCGTTTTATTTGCGCTTTATTCAAGATTGGGTTATTTCAAATTTATCAGCTTGTATATTCAGTATTTACATAACGTGCCCTAGTCTTCTTGGTTAAAATTATTTCAATATTTCTCCCCCTAGTCGATTTTTCGTGATTAAAATAGTTTTAAAAATACAATTTTATATTATGTACTTTTATTTTTTTAAATATTTTTTCTACTGCAGATTTACAGGGTTAAATTGATTTATTACGTAGTTCAATCAGGGACGCAGCATTAAAATAGAACAGTCAAAATATATTGATAGTAGTGATAACATTAGGTAAAAACCGTGTATCCAATGTAAACAGACTTGAAAAACACATTTGTAAATAGAAATAAGAAATATGAGTGAAATTGCTTGGTTGGATGTAAGCAATTATCTGGGTACAAAAACCTACCTAATGATTATTTAAACAATTAACACGATCATTTTTTGTCTAGCGAGCCTTTTATAAAATTAATTGTTCAAATATAGACCCTGCTGCCGAATACATATTTCCATTCGAGTAAACAATTTCACTTATTTTTATTATGAAAAATGTTTTTTTTTTAAAGTGTTTTATTATTATTATTTTTACCTACCGACCTCATACGGGGAAAAAAGAAGATGGAAACTTGCGTTTAATAAACATTTCCCGGAAATTTCCTTAAATTATTAATATTTTAAAAATCACTAGAGCACTCAATTTTGTAGGTGTTCAAACGATGTGGTACTATTTCTTCTCAGAAAAAAAAACAGTTTCAGAAAGAATGTAATTGGGATTCACATTTGAAAAAAAAAATTGACGTCGAAAAACAATTAACGACGGTATTGGAATCTAAAATGTAATGCAAAAATGTAATAGGGGTCACCATCGGTCACTTTATGTATCTGTTTTAAAAAAAACCTGTAAACGCCATAACATGAGAATATGGAAACAAATACATCAAATAATCGGAAGAAAAATAAAAGACAGATTGAAAGAACCTTATACTTCTTTTAGGGATAATGACGGAAAATCATCATGAACCCTCACTAATATAGACAAGAATAGAACTACTAAATAGCGTAATAAAAGGACGAAAAATTAAAATACTTAAAAATTTGGAAATATATATATATATATATATAAAAAACACGTTTAACGGTAAAAAAAAAAATACAGCTACACAAAAATTAACAACAGTGCACATACATTACTCAGTCCATTCAAAATATTACCTATTATAAATTGAAAACTGACGGCCAATAAGATCAGGAACGATAAAATCCAGACTTAATCCACCAAAAATACGAACAATGAAAAACAACGTTGGTAAAGCACCCACCCAGGACGACCTTAGAAAAGAGTTTCATAGAAATCACACAGACCCAACCCTGCAAATGGCGAAATGCCCAAACGCGCCTCTACTGGCTAGCAGGCCATATGACGGTAATTTAATAGGCTTCATTTTATTTTAAAGAGGAAGCGGCTTAATTTGTTTTTCTGATTAATGCTTGTGTCAACCTAACCATATTTAAAAACCCTGGCCAGTTTGATTCAAAATGGGATTAACTTACCTTTGGACTCCCGTCTGAAAGAACAACACAGCGAGGATAGGCAGACTAAAATGATATGTAAAGATCAAATTAAACAACTTTTTAGATATTTTTTTTAACAATCAAGAAATTCTAAGACGAAATAGTACTTTTTCAAAACACTATCACTTGCTTGATAACAAAATGCTTTAAAAAAACCTAGTTTGCCTAACTAATAGGGCAATGTCTTGTTGCTAATCATTTTTTCTGTAAGTTAGTATAAAACAATTTCCAGGAATACATCTATTTTTAATAATTAAAGAAAAATATGGCTCATTTTTGCCCTGTCCATCTTGTATATTGAGTAATCATAATCAAATATCATTTTCTAAAATAAAATTAAAAATCGTTGCACAAATAGACACAAAAATAAATACACGTTAAAATGTATATAATGTATGTGTATTGCGATAAATATTTATACAAATTTTTAACTAGAATTTATATTTCTTGGTTGGGCTTTTTACATAAATAAACATCTTATTATGTTATGCTTAGAGTCATATGTGTCATTGTCATTTTATTATTATTTTCCAATAAATCTCACAAAACGAATTTCGTCACGTAGATAAAAAGAACTTCCCCTTTTCCTTTTGTTTTTGTTCCTTTTGGAGGGGAAATAGGATATACAATGGATTTCTTTTTATCTCTCCACCGGATGAGTAGCTTACCCGACAGCTGTCCAATATTTGTGGATTTTTCACTCTCTCCCCAATTACTCTCGTCTTTCTTCGTTGTTTTGGCCGTTTAACCGAGTGGTTTCTTTTTTCTTTCTCCCCCTTCTACGCTGCAACTCAATGTTGAACTCACTCCCGCCTTAATAAATGGAGAAAAGTTGATCCACGTCGTGTCTTTGAATATAATCACCCGGGCTTATCCGGTTAAAGTGCCTGAATATGAAGAGGACATTAATCATAAATTATTAAACAAGTTTCAAAAAAAGGTAAAACAAAATCGTAGGAAATTACGTTATATGCTTTTCTGAACTGTTGTTCTCTTTGTCAGGCCAATATTGAACTCGAAGTACTTTCATTCCGGTCTTTGGGGAAAAATTTGTCATACACGAGTTCAGGTTTTGAAACATCTGCCTTCGTATTGATCACAATCTCTTGCCTTCGGGCATAATGAGGGCCTACGCTTTATAGGCAGAATTTCCATATCTTTCAACTCAACACCGTCGAGTCCGCAGAAATAATCAATAATTTATGGAGCGTCGATTCTTTCACGTCGTCCTCTGAAAAATGGAGAACATGAAAAAAGGATTAATCAAATTGGGAATTATGTCTTATGAAGGCCGTAATGGCATTAGTTCGAACGTGACCTCTTTATTTTGTCCGACGTTGAACTTGGTACGCGATTCGTTCAAATTAAAAACAAAATAAAGTGTCAAGCTGTACTAAATGTTTATGCTTTATATACAAACTAAGCTCTGGGAATGCTTAATCGTCTAATGGCCCCAGGAAATGTCACCTTTGTGAAAGGCCGTCTTAAAGATATGAAGGTAAAAAAGTAAACCGGGCTGACCAACTAGCCAAAAAAGGGGCAACCCTGTCACCCGTGAGAAGGGAACCACAACTAGGCGTATCGGAGATTTTGCTAAAATTGGAGCTAGAAAAATGGTTTGAGAAGATTCAAGCACTGGACAAAAGCACGAGGTAGAGGCAAGATAAAACAAGATTAGAAATTTACAAATCTATCAAAAAGGAAGACAAAGAAATTCCATCAATTTCCCTTCCTTCTCTCTCTCTCTCTTTCTCTCTCTCTCTCTCTTTATCTTTCTCTCTCTCTCTCTCTCTAACTACTCTACCTTGCTTTCTCTTACAATTTCTCCCGATTTCTCTATATGTTATTTGTTATTTTCTGTCTTCTTTTTTCTTCTCTCTCACTCTCTCTCATTCTCTCTCATTTTCTCTCGCTCTCTCTCACCCTTTCTCTTTATTCTTTACCGTATGAATCTGTTTCTCTTTCACACGTTATCAATCAATTTAATTTTCTTATCTCTCTCTCTCCAAATTTCACCCCTTTGTACCGACCACTGCCCTTTTAACTACCACCTAAACAAGATGGGCAAAGCATAGACAGAAAGATGCGCGAGAGGCACGGAGGAAAGTGCTCTGTATCATAATGATAAGGGTTCCTCACTACTAGACCTACCAGTATAACTTTAACCTTCCCTCCACTGCGACATAAATGGTCAAAATGTTAAGTCCTTTCTTGCTTTTAAAATAAACTATCATTTAAACCGGACGTGTAATGTAAGATAAAACATTCTTGGAGGTTTGCCATAGGGTTCAATAAATTGTAAAAAAATGATAGTTCTGGTACAATACACAGTTCTTGCAGATGAATGGACTTACTGACGGAGATGGCACCGGCATATTGAGAAATAACCCTTTTCTGCACAAACTTCTAAGCTAAAGTCAACAATTGACAAACGGAGCAAACTAAAAAAGTAAAATCAAGTTTAACGTCTCAGAACCAAAATAAATCCCATTTACACTCCGCTGCATAATGGGCACGAAAGGCAAATGTTAATTTTTAATTATTTTCGTAAAATTAAACATCTTGTGTTCCCTTTTATGTATGGATCTAACGCGTCCAAAACCAATTTTCCAAGACGCAATAAAAAACTGTATGCCCCCAAGATACGTGGATACATTTGGCTGAGTTTCACAAAACTACATTTTAATTTTGTACACAATTAAGGTTTATGATTGTTTTTTATTAAAAAGACGCCCATTTTTTAGAGGAATCCTATCAAAGTCGATTCATTGCTGAAATCGCTTTTTGGTTGTTACTTGGTGTTTTGTTTATTAAACATATATCATACATATTCGGAGCAGTTGATTAATATTGAATAAATATATTTGAGTAGAATATCTCATCGAATTTCTTCTTTTTCAGGACGATCAGAGAATCTGGTATAAAAGTGATTACGAACGAATCACTCACACCGTACAAAGACACCCTCAAAGAATTGTAAGTACTTTCTTATAAGGGTTACAAAAGGGAAGTTTCAGGTCGAAAATTTTGGCCCGCTCGCGGCCAGCCACGGCTGAAACCAATGTGTTAAGCGGCTCTAGGATCTAAAGCTTTCTTGAAAGTGGCTAATTTCCGAAAGCCCTTGAAAGGATAATCTAGATTGCTTCTGATCACAGTGCACCGTTATAGAAGGGCGGAACGGCGGAAGCCGATTAAAGCTCGGCTTCGATATTCTTAATTGTCTCAAAATCTAATCAAAAATCAAAACTTAATTTGTGATTAAAAAGTTTTTCAATGCGACTATTCTATAAAGTCTTCAATCGACTGGCAATATATTGAAGTTCTTTTTAATTGCTACAATTTGAATCTGATTAACTTTCTTTTTATTATTTAACTTTAAAGTATCACTATTTCGTTAAATAGAATTTTTGTAGAAGGAAAAGAGTTTTTTATACCAAGCCTGCATAAATAAAATCTTACACATGCTCTACTTTTTCAATCATTTAGAAATTTTTACAATATATTCTTATGTAAATCTCACCTGGTCGAAACCCTTATCCAACAAAATTAAAAATTATTTTCTTGGATACAAACAGATCAGCACCTTTTTTTATAATATATTGTAAATTATTTAAAATTTTAAAATTTTTTTAACTCAACAAGTAAATATTAAATTAAATCTCTTCTTTCTTTGCTTATGTTAAAGCAAGCAATCAATTTTTTTTCAATTTCAACTCTTAAACACCTCTTAAAAATTTAACGCACCACTCATTTTGTTTAGTTTAAAATAAAATCCATTATCCTTCCACATTAGTTACAGGTAATTAGGAGCTATCATAGTTGAAATAAACAGTTTTGCTTCCTTTCTTCGTTCCTTTTCTACTGATTAATCCTATTTGAAAAAAAGTAACATTATGTCCTTCAATTCTGCGACGCTTAAAGATTGCTCTCAGTTCCATCTTCTTCCTTCGTTAATTTCATTTGATATTATTCTCATTCTTCCACCTTTTTCAATGGATCCAGTCAGGCAATTTAGTGAGTGTGACAGTGTCAGGATCATTGCATCATTGGAGGAAGGATAGAGCCAAGCGAAGTCGCCAGGACGGTGTAAATCACTTGACGATAGGAAGAGTTCTTCGGGGCTTCACACTAGAACCGGGTCAGGATCGACCTAGGACTACAGACAAGACAGAGAATAGATTCATCCATCTCTACGAAACCGCACCATTACGGGAAATGAGATAAGAAATCTGAGAAAACAAATCCGAAATGTTTCGATTTCCTACAGAACAGTAAGAAGGCTCAGTGAAAATAATCTCATAATAAATAATAAGGGCCCGGAACCCGGTTCGTGGACTTCTTACCGCAACCTAGAAAATTGCCATGGGAACTTGTGAATTGGACGATTGGGGACGAATTCTCTTTACAAATGAGGTAAGAGTTGATCTTCAGATGGACGTAATTTTATACGGAGACGCTCAGGAAGTTGATTAACAACCTGAAACTGGTAAGTTATAAGAATAGAGAAGCAAAATAGATCTGCTCAGGTCGAGGTGAAGAAGGTCTTGTGACCTCTTCTTTTATTATCCCTATCCCTAGCTATCTCACTCTTCTTAATCATAAGTAGATAACAAATAGAACAAAACATGGCACTGTAATCTCTCTCCCTACCTTTCACGCCCACTTTTTCATTGACTCATTCATTGGCTCTCTCTCTCTATCATCCTATTTATATCTATCTTTCTATCTATATATCTCTATCTCTCTTTCTCTCTTACCACACTAACAGGCGTATAATAGCTCCTAAAGGGCGCGCAGAACACTCCCCGACTAATACATCTATCTATCACACTAACGATAACCTCATGGTTTTCTTTTACGATTAAAGTTTGAGCTATAACATTGTAATTAGATGTTTGTATTTATGAACCATGTAAATGAGTAGAAATAGGGCCTGAATGTTTTTTTTCAAACCTTAACCCTGATTTTGTAATAACAATTGAAAAGCAAATCCTTACATAAGTACTAATTTATGTTTATGTATTTACATAACTATTTCCAACGATAAAAATAAATGTACATTCTAGGTCTATGTTTTAAAGCAAATTCTTATTAAGTAGAAAGGATTGCTAACTGAAATGTCAAATTCTACAAAAACTCGTGGATAGAAACGAAATATTGATAAATTGTTTTGTTTTTTCATAGTTATGATTAAAAAATATAAATATCTGACTTTTGAAATGGAATTATTTTGCAGTAGTCGTGTGTGTGTGTGTGTGTGTGTGTGTGTGTGTGTGTGTGTGTGTGTGTGTGTGTGTGTGTGTGTGTGTGTGTGTGTGTGTGTGTGTGTGTGTTGTTAAAAATGTAACAGGTGTCTCTCTTTAATGTTTAATAAAAATTCATGAAAACGTTACATTCTAGGACTTTGTACAACTAATGCTGTAGCTGATGGGAAAAAGGGGACATTTAAAAATCGATGACTTGTATTACGTTCTTTGACAGAGAAAGAAATAAAAATCCGTAATAGAACTGCAATGATACAGATTATTTGTTTTCTTTAAATCTTTTCGTTAACTTTTACTACAATATTTTACCAAAAGAGTTAGCTGCCAATTTAATTTTTTTTATCTGGATTTTCTGGCAAACATTAATAGCCAGTATAGAAAGAAGCAGAAAAGAAAGTTTGCCAAAACAAGATAAGCACGTAATGAAAGTCTTTTGTCATAATTAGCTCTAACGAGATCATCGTCTTGAAGTCATTTATATCGGTAAAAAGTTTCCCCTCGCTTCTAAAGAAATAATATCATGAAAAATGCTAATTCTATGAAAAATAGCAAGCTTACATATTTTTTAGCCATACGAGATAATGACAAAGAAGAATTCGAGAAATTAGCTAAAATTCGAAACTATTCAGAGAAAACGTATAATAAATAATCTGTTGTTTTGGGATAAAGTTTATTGTTGTAAGATATTGATTTTTTCCAGCCCGTAAGGAAAGTCAGTTTTCAGTAAATTGCAATTTGTATCTGTAGTAGAGAACATCTTTGACTATTAAACCAACATAAAAGTTGAGTGGAGCTGTTATTATTTTAATTTACTGAAAAAAAGTTTAGACTTTTTGCAGGACCACAGATGATACAAACAATGTGATTTATAAAAATTCTCTTTGATGAGAGTACTATTAGGAAAACGTGAACAAAATATACGATTTTTTTATTTCCTCCCTCACCTTAATCCATTAGCGTTGTGACAGAAACATAAAAATATAAAATAACACTAAAAGTTCGCTTTTGTTTTAATGGGATATTTAACAATAAAAATCTACCAACGTATACTTTGTGTACATCATTGAAGAAGACATTAACTAATAAATTGTTAAATACCATGGCTCTCCAAATTAAAACCATATTTATACAAATCATATGATGGATATTTTAGGATAAGAATTGATTGTCGCGTGAGAAAAAAAGAATACGGGTTTTTAACGCGCTGGCATGTAAACGATGATAAGAAGTGATCGAGATGACAGATGAGAAAAGTAGTCGATCATCGAATGTTCGATAAAAGATGATGACGGGAGGAAAAGGTGGGAAAAAGTTGATGAAATTCCCGCCGGCTTTGTGTACAACAAATTTGACGAGATGATTACCTAAAAACTAATGGACTAGAATGTCTAGCAATTTTTTTAATTTTTGATCAATAAGGAGCGGCATTAGCGAGTCATCTAAAAGGGAAAGACTTAATGTCAGTATTATTTAAAAGAAAAACGGCTTTATTAACGATTAATTGGTAACTGTTTTGTTGTAATTATTACGATATAAAAATTATGATTGTAACTTGCCGCCCACCAAATTTATTAAATATTATGCAAAAGCGTAAAACAAAATGGTAAAAGATTAAAGAAAGTTATCTTATATTAAGTTTAAATTGGCATAAAATTGTTTATATCAATACTCGGATTATGATTAAAAAATAAAGTTGGTTTATTTTTGCATTTCATTTTTTACAAATCGCATATTTTCTTAAATGAAAATGTTTTTCTGAAACCTACGTCACACCAGACAGCATTACACGATTTCCGAATAATCATCGACTAACGGTCACTAATCACCACATATTATTTTTATTTGTTATTTTTTACAAAAGTTAGACGAAAAGACTACATTTTCATTTTCGTGCAGCTCTTGTACAAATTAATAGACAGAATTTTTTATTTACTCTCTTCTAAATTAGTTCGCAACTTAAATTATATCAGATCAAAGAAATTTGAGTCAAAGAATTATATACGCTTTTGGATATGTTTAAAAATGTTATTTATAAACATTATGGTGTTATGTGTAGAGATTAGAGACCGTTAATCGATAGTTATTTAGATATCGTGAGATGCGGTCGGGTGTGATGTAGATTTCAGAAAAGCATTTTCTTTATCGTGCCAACGTTTCGATCTTTTATTGAGAACAACTTCAGGGGCACTCTCAACACGACACGCAAGGATGGCACAATTACACAGAAGACAAACACTTTGAGCCCTGAAGATGATCTCAATAAAAGATCGAAACGTTGGCACGATAAAGAAAATGTTTTTCTGAAACCTACATCACACCCGACCGCATCTCACGATATCTGAATGACTATTATGGTGTTAATTTTTAATCAATATAGCGCGAGATGCATTTATTATAATTGGTGGACGGTATGTTAATACCAGAATAGCTACTTTTCTAAAAAATTCTATTCACTATTGCTACTCTATCTTCAGATTTAAAAAAGCATTCATAATCGGTTTTTAGTTTAAAAAATGTGCGATTTGTCAACAATTAAAAGAAAATCCCTTATCATAAAGTGAATATTAACAAAAAATATTATTCTAATTTACATCTAATATAAGTATAATATATTTACTATTTTATTACACTCTTTTTCATACATTTGATCAATTTAGTGAGCACTATGTTAGTAATTAGCATGATTGGGTTTAAATATTGTTATAAATTATT